TTGAGTGCTAACCAGAAGGCTGGAGGTTCAAACCCACCAGCCACTCCTTGGAAGGAAGGTTGGGCAATCTACCTCCATAGTGATACTGCCTCAGAAACCCAAGGAGGGGTCACTATGAGTTGCGTCTTACTTGACGGCACATAACAACAACAACAACAGTCCATGTACAGGTTCCTCATGAGCACAATTAAGTGTTCTGGAATTCCCATTACTTGTAACATTATCCATAATTTGTTATGATCCACACAGTCAAATGCCTTTGCATAGTCAATAAAACACAGGTAAACCTCTTTCTCTGCTTTCAGCCAGGATCCATCTGACTTCAGCAATGATATCCCTTGTTCCACATCCTCTTCTGAACCCAGCTTGTGTTTCTGGAAGTTCCCTGTCAGTGTACTGTTGCAACCATTTTTAAATTACCTTCAGCAAGATTTTACTTGTGTGTGATATTAATGATATTATTCTGTAATTTCCACATTCTGTGGATCATCTTTCTTTGGAATGGGCATAAATATTGGTCTCTTCCAGTCAGTTAGCCAGGCAACTGTCTTCTAAACTTCTTGGCATAAATGAGTAAGCACCTCCAGTGCTACATTTTTTTTTTCCAAAAAAACATTTTTATGGCTATTCCATCAATTCCTGGAACCTTGTTTTTCTTCAATTCTTTCAGTGCAGCTTGGACCTTCAGTACCATTGGTTCTTGATCATATGCCACCTCCTGAAATAGGTGAACATCAACCATTTCTTTTTAGTACAGTGACTTTGTACTTCCACTTTCTTTTGATGTTTCCTGCATAATTCAATATTTTGCTTAAAAACCAAAACCAAATTCACAGCCATTAAGTCATTTCTGACTCATAGCAATCCCTCCTTGGGTTTCCGAGGCAGCATCTCTATGGAAGTAGATTGCCCAATCTTCCTTCCAAGGAATAGCTGGTGGGTTTGAACCGCCAGTCTTCTGGTTAGCAGTCAAATGCTTTAGGCACTATGCTACCAGAGCTTCCATAGAACCCTTCAATACTGCAATTTAAAGCTTGAATTTTTTTCTTCAGTTTTTTAGCTTGAGAAATGCTGAGCATGTTTTTCCCTTTTGGACTTTTAATTCCAGGTCTTCACACATATTATTATAATATTTTACTTTGTCTTCTTGAGCTGCCCTTTGAAATCTTCTGTGCAGCTCTTTTATTTCATTATGTCTTCTATTCAATTTAGTTACTCTCTGTTCAAAAGTAAGTTTCAGAGTCTCTTCTGACTTCCATTTTGGTCTTTTCTCCCTTTCCTTTCTTTTCAATGACCTTCTGCTTTCTCATGTCTGATGTTCTTGATTTCATCCCACAACTCATCTGGTCTTTGCTCATTGCTGTTCAATGCATCAAATCTTTTTTTCAAATGGTCTCAAAAGTCAGGTGAGATATACTCAAGGTTATATTTTGGCTTTCTTTGGACTTGTTTCTGTTGTCTTCAATTTCAATTCAATCTTGCTTATCAGCAACTGTTGGTCTGTTCCACAGTCCCCCCTGGCCTTGTTTTGACTGATAATATTGAGCTTCTCCAATGCCTCTTTCCACAGATGTAGTCATATTCCACCTGATGAGGTCCATGTGTATACCTGCTATGCATGTTATTGAGAAAAGGTATTTGCAATGAGTAAGTTCTTGGTCTTGCAATATCTTATGCAATCTCCAGCATCATTTCTATCATCAAGGTCTTATTTTCCAACTACTGAGGATGCTTCCTTGTATCCAACTTTTGCATTCCAATCACCAATGATAATCAATACATCTTGATCGCATGTTTGGTCAATTTCAGACTGTGGAAGTTAGTAAAAATCTTCAATCTCTTCATCCTGGCTTTAGTGGTTGGTGTGAAAATTTGAATAATAGTAGTACTGACTGGTCTTTCCTGTAGGCATATAGATATTCTCCTGTCACTGACAGCACTGTACCTCAGATAGATCTTGAAATGTTGTTTTTGATGATGATTCAACACTATTCTTCTTAAATTTGTCATTCCTGCCATAGTAGACTGTATGACTGTCTGATTCAAAGTGGCCAATTCCAGTCCATTTCAGCTCACGAATGCCTATGATATTGATCTTTGTGTTTCCAATTTTCCTATGTTCGTACTTCATACATTCCATGTTTTGATTATTAATGATGTTTGCAGTTGTTTCTTCCTATTTTGAGTCATACCCCATCAGGAAATGACGGTCCCAAAAGCTTTAATTCATACATGTCATTAAGGCCAAATCTACTTTGAGGAGGCAGCTCTTTCTCAGTCGTATTTTGAGTGCCTTCCAACCAGAGGGGTTCATCTTCTGGCATTATATCACACAGTGTTTCAAGACTATTTGTAGAGTTTTCTAGTGATGTATCAGACAGTAGTTTCCTACTATTCATAAGGTTTTCACTGGCAAATTTTCATAAGTCCAAGTGGATGGACCTGTACTTCTTTCCAGTCTGTCTTAGTCTAGAAGCTCCACTGAAACCTGTCTACCATGGGTGACCCTGCTGGTATTTGAAATAGCCTCCTGCCTCACAGCAACACACAAGCTACCACAGTATGACAAACTGACAGATGAGTCAGATTGCTTATAATAACTAATACAATGTATATGGATGTATTAATGTGATTCGTATTAATACAATGTAAATGTATTAATGAATTAAATGTACATTGTACATTTAATTCATTAATACATTTACATTATGAATTAAATGTACACTGTACCCTTAATTTATGAATATATTTACATTATTAATACAACATAAATGTTATACTAATAGCATTTTACCCTATGTCACAGCCTCAGAAGGATTGTTTTGACTCTTTAATTGCTTTTTAGGAGCCTTTTTTTTTTTTTTCCCTCCATCAATATTTTCAATCCATGGTCTGTTGAATCCATGGATGTGGAAGCTGTGAATACAGAGGACCAACTGTATATTATGATTCAGTTTAGAAAGAGTTAATAAACTGCAAATTTAATTTATAGTAGTAGAAGTCAGGACAATAGTTATTTTGGGGAATGAGGAGAGATGTCATTTTTGAAAGATGGAAGAGGTGGGCCTGCTGAGGATTTGGTAAAATTCTGTAAAGCAATTTAACAATATCTAATAAACTTGGGTGTTTTATTCGTAGGCATGTCCTACAATTTAGCAACCGTAGAGCTAGGCATTTGACCTAGAAAAACATAGACTGGCATATGTGCCTTAAAAAACAGACATAAAAATATTCATCATCCCAAATGAGAAAGGAAAACAGAAATACCCTAAATGAATGTTAAACATATAGTAGAAAAGATGGATAGAAACAAAAATTGTTCTTTTTTAAAATAAATCCCTGGTGAGACTAATCAAGTATGAGAAACAGACAGAATAAATAGTAACAGAAATGGAAAGGTGAATCTTACCACAGATGCAAACATTAAATGAGAAGATATGATGATCATTGTCAGGTCAGCATGAAAATTTTGATGAAATGGGAAATAGCCTAGAAAATGAAATCTTACTAAAATTTTCTCAAGAAAAAATAAGAAATGTGTATAACCTTTTATCATTAAAGAAATTTAAGCAGTAGATGAAAATCTGCCTGTTAAGAAAATTCATGACCCAGATGTTCATAGTGGCAAATGCCAACATGTGCTTTAAAACTTTAAAACTAATTCCAACAGTCTGTGCCCCTTGACACCAAGGATTATGTCTTCTATTTCATCATATACCAGTAGAATCAAGAAAATAAAATGTTTTAAAGTGAAAAACATGAAGTATAGAAAGATGAGTATCTCATACAAAAAATCCATTGCCATCAAGTCAATTCCAAATCATAGCAACCATATAGAACAAATTACAACTGCCCCATGGAGTTTTCAAGGCTGAAATCTTTACAGAAGCAGATTGCCACATCTTTCTCCCTCAAAGCGACTGGTAGTCTCTGTCTAACCACCTTTCAGTTACCAACCAAGCCCCTGAAACACTGCACCACAAAAGATGCTAATATTTGCATAAATAAGAAGGTTTAGAATAATATTTCTACTTGTCTGTATAGCATAAAAGTCTGTAGATGGATAGCACAAGTAACTAACAATAGCAGGGAAGATGTGATAGGGAAGATGTGATAAACCCAAGGAAAACATAGAACAAGAGTGGGAAGGATAATTTTCACTGAATCATTTTTTAAACATTGTTATTATTGTGGTAGTTAGGGTTAAGGGCCAACTTGGCTGGGTCATGGTTTTGAGAGGCTGAGCAGCTGTATGTACTTATTCCCTATGATGAGATTATAATCACTTCCTTGGTAAAATCTGCTATGAGACGTCAATCAGCAGAAAGGGAGCTGCGTTTGGGGTGTGCCCTGCTTCTACTACATATGGAAGACCCTGCATTTGGCCAAGTCCTGGCCTGCCAGGTTGCCAGCTGATCTTGAATTGTTTTTATACTTAAGCCTGCTGTGTTGCCTGCTGATTTTTGAGATTATGCCATTTTACCTGCTTACTCCGGGTTTGTCAGCCTCGGCAGCTAACAGCTTTCTGAATTAAGAGACACTTCCAGTTCCAGTGGGCCTGGAGCAAGAGGCAGAGCTGAAGCCCAAGGTCAAGGGGCCTTCACCCAGCCCCTTTTTGAATTTGGATTCTTATCTTCCTAAATTGTAAAAGAACTAATTCCTATTTGTTAAAAACATCCATTTGTGGTATTTCTGTATAGCAGCATTAGAGAACCAAAACACCATTCAAACAATTATTTAATTCATTAGAAAAACATAATAGCCAAGGATAGCCTGAAAGAGAAGGGTAACTGGAGGAAAATGATGGATCCAACGAATAAAATATTACAAAAATACAATAATTATAAATAAAAATATAAATAATTAGCAGAGTAAAATTATCTTTGGTGCACTAAGCACTTTACCAATTCTGCCTTAAAAGATACGACTTAAATTAAAGGGGGAAAAATAGGTTTTAAAGAAGAGAAGGAAAACCATCAATAGGAAAATTATTTTTTTACCTTATACCACTTTATTAAATCCAAAACACAACTCTTCGGGAAGTTCAAATGACATGTAAGACTGTCAGCTTTTCCAAAATGTAGTGTCTGTATATACTCGTCTGATAAATTCCATAGAGCATTTCTGGAAATACCACACCAATATTTTCTAAAAACAGTTAGGTTTACATGTATTCTGTAACAGCTGTTTATATTCCTATAAGAAAATAGCAGATTGAATCCTCATAAATGCTTAAACAATCACAAAATAAAATGATTCAGTTCCTGGTGAAATATTTTCAAATCATTTTCAAGCCACCATGTCTACTCTCTGCCCTCAAACAAAACAATACAATACGCATCCCACAAATCATTAATTACAAAAAGAAAAATAAAATGACAGAGAGGAAAAATTGGACTACACCTTAACAAAGTTATCAAAATTAACATCATTAATGAGGGTCTAATGGACTGCAAGTGCCTCCAGAAGTGATATTCTGAGAAACACACAAATTATTTGTAGAGCATTAACACACAGCTTGAGACTAACCATGAAGAAACATCTGACAAACCCAAATATTGTTGTTGTTGTTGTTGTTATGTGCCATCCAGTCAGACCCAACTCATAGTGACCCCTCCTTGGGTTTCCAAGGTGATATCACTATGGAAGTAGATTGCCCAACCTTCCTTCCGAGAAGTGGCTGGTGGGTTTGAACCACCAGCCTTCTGGTTAGCAGTCAAGTGGCTCAGGCACTAGGCTACCAGAGCTCCTGACAAACTCAAATAGAGGGATATAATATAAAATACTTAATTTGCACTCATCAAAAATGTCAATGCTATGAAAAACAAAACAAAACAAAAAGACTGAGGAACTGTCTAGAAGAAAGAGATTAAAAATATATGACAACGAAATTCAATGCATAATCCTGCATTAGATCCTCTACTGAAAAGGAAAGAATAAAAGTTGTAAGAGTCAGCAGTAGGATAACAGGATGTTCTTGTTGAATAAGAAATGTTGTTGTTGTTATGTGCCGTCGAATCGGCCCCAACTCATAGCAACCCCTCCTTGGGTTTCCGAGGCAGTATCACTACGGAAGTAGGATTGCCCAACCTTCCTTCCAAGGAGTGGCTGGTGGGTTTGAACCACCAGCCTTCTGGTTAGCAGTCAAGTGCTTTAGCCACTATGCTACCAGAGCTCCTTGATAAGAAATACACATTGAAATATTAAGGGATAAAAGGGCATGATATATACAACTCAAATGGTTTAAAAGTTATATCTATCTATCTACAAGGAGCTCTGGTGGCATAGTGGATAAGGCATTTGTCAGTGGTTCAAACCCACCAACTGCTCCATGAAAGGAAGATGGGGCAATCTACTTCCATAAAGATTTATACCTTCAGAAACCCAGAGGGGGTCACTATGAAACAGACTCGACTCGATGGCAGTGAGTCATATATATTTGAATATATCAAATATATCATATATTTGAATTTGGATTCCTAGCACCTAAACTGTAAAAGAATTAATATATGTATGATATATATATATATATATATATATATATATATATATATATATATATATAATATATACATGATTTTATAAAATGGTAAAAAAAAAAAGGTGATTCTGTGAAAGGTAGATGAGAGTTCTTTGTACTATTCTCTCAAATTTCATGTAAATTTGAAATTATTTCAAAATGAAAAGTAAAAATATGAAGTTCACTGATGATAAGTAAAAATATGAAGTTCACTGTGACAAGTCATGTTCATTATTGTCCATGGTGCACAATATCTTTGTCTAATCAGAACATATACCCAACAATATAGTTTTATTTTTGTTTTTATGAAGATAATTTTTCCCCACTTCACAAATCCCAGATATAAATATTTTAAATCCAGATCTGACATCAGATGAATTTACAACCTCCAGGTCTACTTAATGATTTCTAGCCTAGAGAAAATGGGAGAGTGGACTGCCACAAGACATCAGCAGCTTAACCAACAGGGTGAGTGAACTTGTGGAAATCAGTCAGGCAAACAGAGGCTAATGAACACTTCCATCTGTGTTAACACTGAGTAAGTGATTTTGTATATGGAGTATGTCTGATATATAGAAATAAATTTGGCATGATTCAGAGTGGGAAATGCATCATTCTGAGACAAAGCGAAGGGCCAGAAAATACCATAGAACCAGAACAAGAGAGGGAGAGAGCAACTTTATAATAGTTTATGCAGTACTTACTTTATACATGTTCTCATTTAATTTTCACTTCCACCTTATAAAGCTGATAATACTCCCATTTTACAGACAAGAAAACTGAGGCTCAGAAAGGTCAAATAATTTAAGGTCATACAAGTTAGTATGGGAAATTTATAAAATTGCATGCATCAGGCCAAATTTGGTCTATGTTGTTGTTGTTGTTGTTGTTATGTGCCGTCGAGTCGGCCCCGACTCATAGCGACCCCTCCTTGGGTTTCCGAGGCAGTATCACTACGGAAGTAGGATTGCCCAACCTTCCTTCCGAGGAGTGGCTGGTGGGTTTGAACCACCAGCCGTCTGGTTAGCAGGCAAGTGTCTTAGCCACTATGTTACCAGAGCTCCCAAATTTGGTCTATAGATGTGTTTATTCAGACCATACAAAGCTTTACAAATTGAAAAGTTTCTCTCTCTCTCTCTCTCTGACATACACCCACACCCACACACCTCCACACACACACAATCTGATTTCCAAATTCTCTTTAAAAACTGGAAGACGGGATGTGATAGGAAATATGCTTTCTAATTCACTGCAGTTTTCATCAACCTCAATAGTCTCACACCAACCTACATCACTCATTTTACACTACTTCCTAGCACAAGGCTTAGCATAAGTTCTGGGATATACTAGATACTTAGTAATTGCTGAATGTCTACCTTAACATAAGGTCTGGAACAAACTCAATGCTTAGTAACTATCTTAAACAGAATCCTTTACAAAAAGGTGCTTAAAGTGGTCGTGCCGTGTGTCAAAAAATGTTTGACATTTCAAGACAGATGGATTTTAGAAAATAATCCTGAGATAAACAAGCTTTGTGAGTTGGCCTGACCCATAACATCATTTCAGTGGGAAAAGATGCATTTCAAGCTATGTACTGCACGTAAGTACATAGAAACCAAAGTTCTTTAGTGGTTACCAGGGGCAAGTGAGAGGGAGGGAAAGGGGGAATCACCGTTTAGGGGACATTGAGCTTCTGCTGAGAGTGATGGGACAATATGAAAAGGGATAATGGTGATCGTTGAACTACAAACATATCTAACGTCACTGAATTGTACATTTGAAGAAAATTTAAAAGGCAAAAGATTTGCTACATATATGCTTACCACAATAAAATGTTCAATTTAATTTAAAATAATACTAGACATGCAAAAAAAAAAAAAAAAGAATTATCTTAACAGAATGCTCTATATAGACACAGAGAGAGAGAGCTACTTTATAAACAAGGAACTTACTTTATAACACATTGATAGATTGCTGCATCCCTCCACGTCAGGGGAAGAAACAAAATCCAGCTCTCATCCTGGTGAATCCTAGACCATACGTTTTTGGATATTGGGATTTTGCTAGAATTTTTATACCATGTTATATTTACTTCCCCAGATGTTTGTGGAGGATGTGTGCAATTAAAAGCAAAAGGCTGGTCTACTGAAATAATCTCGTTTTTCACACTAATGTCCTTGCATTCATCTATGGAAAGAAAAGAAAGGCAAAAATAATTAACAATGAAGGGAAATTCTTATTTGCTCATGATTAGCTTTAACAAATGTCTCTTTGATTTTCTAATAGAACTGAAATTTTATTTGGAAGTATTCTTTGCCTAAGATTTTCCCAAAAGGAGTGTGCTGATTTGAAAACTTTTTGAAATTCTTCAAATGTGTCCATAGACAGAATTTACTCAATTGCCTCTTCACAAACCATCTTCCCTATTTGAAATGATTTGTCTCTTGCATTTCTACATAACATCCATAAGTCTTTCATCCTCCTCAGACAGCATGACCTTTCCTGTCCTCATTCCTCCATGACTCTGTAACCCAGTTAATTTCATTCTGGAATAAAAAGTGTAACCATCTTGAAACAAAGGGAGCTCTGGCCAAGCAGTAAAGCATTTGGCTGCTAAACAAAAGGTCAGCGATTTCAACCCATCAATTGTTCCCTAGGAGAAAGATGAGGCAGTCTGTTTCTAAAAAGATTTACAACCTTGGGAACAGAGTTCTACTCTGTCCTATAAGGTCACTATGAGTTGGAATCAACTCAGTGGGTAGTCGTAGTAGTAACATGTACCAAATAGATTAAAACACAAATTTATCACACTTTAAAGTTGATTTTTACTAAATTGTTTAATTTGTTGGAGAAACTTTGCTTTGTTGATTGTTTCTTTCCTTTTACCTGGGGTCATAAAACGATCCTTTATCATATAAAATAGCCACTTAATCAGTTGCTGTTGAGTCAACTCCCACTCCCCACGACCCTTTTGTGTCAAAGTAGAACTGTGCTCCATAGAATTTTTAATGGGTTAGTTTTTGAAGTAGACAGGCTTTTCTTCTGAGGTGCCTCTGGTTGGTCTCGATCCTCCAACCTTTTGGTTAGAGCCAAGCCTATAAACCCTTTGCACCATCCATGATGTACATCATTAAAAAATCGACGGTGTTATATTCATTTCAACATTTGAACTCAAGGTTTGACTTGAAAATTTGCCTACTCCCTCTCCCCAAGTTTATCTCAAAGCTCAAAGTTGACGGTCGGGGCTGAGCATCAGAGCACTTAGAGATGAAACTTGCTGTTTCTCCATTTTCATTCCTTAGAATTCTGTCTACCCATTTGGGAAAAGTTTAATTAATTAGCAAGCCTCGGGTCTCAAGCCACCCCTTTGTTGTTGTTGTTGTTATGTGTAAGGGGCTCTGCAATGAAGGGTAGGAGACAAGTAGATGAGGGAACTTACCCGCTCTGACAAAATGTGTTAGGGCAAGGGACACAACGCAGAGCAGCAAGTATGGCATCTCCATATTGGGCTACAAATAGAGAAAACAAAAGGAGGGGAAGGCAAACAGTGAGGGCAGGAACGCATCCTCCCTGGCACAAGGAGTCGGCTTCTGCCGCCTGGAATCTCAAAGATTCCAACTCTGGCAGCTGACCTTCCCTTCCGAACGCGAAGCACTCAATCTCGGCCCCACATTTCCGGATATGATCCCAAAGACGATTCCTCCCCCCGCCTGCTGTTCTCTATTTTCAGTGCCCGGACTTTTAATATCCAGGGCGGGGAACTGCAGATGTTGACGAGGGAGGGATTACTAGGGAGAGACAGGGAGACCGGGTGGAGGCAGTTGGAGGTAGGATGCGGTTCTCGAGTGTCATCCCTGTCTCCCACCTGCAGAGAAGCAGGATCGGCGCCCAGTCCCGCTGGAGGCTCGGAGCCCCACTCCACAACCCCTGTTCCTCATGCTAGCCCACGCAACCCCGCGTTCCGGTGGCGGTGCCCAGGTCCCGGCCCGTGCGTCTCGCGAAGCCTCGCCAGCCTCCCTCGGAGGACTTTCTCACCTTTGGGATCCGCCTGAGCCGGGCAGTCTAATCGGAAATCCCAAACATCGGTTCGCTTTGGGGAGAAGCCAGCTCTGGCCTACCGCAAGTCTGACAGGAAAAGACGCAAGTAGATGGAGCGCCACCGGACCCTGAAGGCAGAACGCGCTCCACACCTTCGCTCAGAGGCGGAATCGGCTCCGCAACAACACCCTCAGGTCGCCGAGCAGGTCGGGCAGCCCCAGAGTCCGAATCTCTGGCTTCTTTGCCCCACACATTTCTGCCACCTGTTTCCCTCTACACCTTTCCTCTTGGTTGAACAACATAATAAACACCCATTCTCATTTATCTCAGCCACAGATTCCTCAGTCTGGTGTTCACCTGCCTGTTCGGATTGGAGCTTCTGAGGATCTTAGAGAGAGATGAAAATCCCACACAGGTACTGATGCCCTGCCATGGTATTTCCACGTCAGTCAGTGTATTTCCTCGTCACTAGTGGGAGCGTAGGAAGGAACAGGCATCACGCTAGAAAGTGGCAGCTAAGAAGTCCTTCATCACCAAGAAATGTCTGCTTAAATCTGTACCCACTTGTCTACAAATTTTCAAACATTCTATGAGCAGTTATTACATGCCCTGCATTGGACTGAATTGGAACGCCCAAAAAGTAGAATGAGCTCCTATATGCTCCTGACAGATTACTTTGGCTGAGTCATCCACATTCACCACTTCACAACAGAGGTGTCTCCCTCCCCCCTCCCAAGGCACTCTTCTGCTACTAAGAATGTGAAAACTGCTCCTGTGTAAAGCTTTGGAATAGGTTGATAGCAACAGGGACAGTCGTGTCCCCCAGTCATCAAAGGACACCCTAAGATAACCCATGGAGTACTGAGAATTAGAAAAAGATGTTAAAAAAAATATCCATTTAACAGATTGATTCTTGGCCAAGGTACTTCTGCTGGTTTTTGGGCGGCTAGAGATTGTGAGGAGCACACACAAGGAGGAACAGAGTAATTGATTTATCAGCAGAACTTCCTCTGATAGGCCAGAGGCCAACTGCTTGCAAATTATTAACTCTTATTTAGAACTCCAAAGTGCTTTTGTATATGTGGGTTTTTGTCTATTGACACTATATTAGAAATCAAACCAGAAAAATCTCTGAACTTTCATTATTTATTATTTTATTGTAATTATTATTATGTGATATAGTTAATAGAAGGACTTCTAGTGACATAATGGTAAGGCATTTGTCTACTCACCAAAAGGTCAGTGGTTCAAACCCACCAGCTACTATGCAGGAGGAAAATAAGGCAATCTACTTCCAAAAAGATTTACAGCCTTGGAAACCTGATGGGGGTCCCTATGAGTCAGACTCCACTTGATGGCACTGGTTTTTTTTTTTAATAGATATACTTTATAGGATATCATTTTACTATGATTTATTTCCTTATTTAGTTCAATTAGCAATAATAAGCCCATTACATATTAACATAAATGTCATACATTTTATGAAAAATAACTATACTTTCCAAAACAGATTGATTGAGGATGGTGGTATTGCTCTACATGTTTGGAGATCTCTTTAATGGATGTCTTAATAGAGAACAGGTAGATTCTTACATCACCTTCTGCATTCAATGATGTTATGCAACATCTGAAAATCACTGCAGTACTCTCATGGGAGAATATGAGTTGAAAAGACAAATACGATCTTAACATTATTATGAAAATAGTTTTGACTTCAAAGATTCCTTTCAAGGGCTTGGGAACCTTCAGGCCTCCCATACTTTTGAGGATCTCTTTGTTAAGCACTAAATGGAGATTTTTATGAGTCAATGGAAATGGATTTGGTTGGTAGCATCAGCATAGGTCCCTGGTTGTTGTTGCTGTTGTTGTTATGTGCCATCGAGTCAGCCCCGACTCATAGCAACCCCTCCTTGGGTTTCTGAGGCAGTATCACTACAGAAGTAGGATTGCCCAACCTTCCTTCCGAGGTGGTCCCTGGTGGCACAAGCATATTGTGTTCAGCTGCTAACCTAAATGGTGGCGGTTTAAACCCACCTAGTGGTACTATGGAAGAAAGGCTTGGAGATCTGCTTCCATAAAGATTAACCAAACCAAACCAAACTCACTGGCATGGAGTAGATTCTGACTCGTAGCCACCCCCATTGGGTTTCCAAGACAGTAAATCTTTATGGAAGTAGATTGAACTGTCAACCTTCTGGTTAGCAGTCTAATGCCTTAGGTACTGCATAACCAGAGCTCCTTTCCATAAAAAATACAGCCTAAGAAAACCCTAAGGAACTATTCTACTCTGTAATGCATGGGATTGTCAAGAGCCAGAATCAACTCTGGCAAACCAGAAAGCAAACTCACTGCCATCAAGTTGGATCCGACTCATAGCGACCCCTCCTTGAGTTTCCAAGGCAATATCACTATGGAAATAGATTGCCCAATCGTCCTTAGGAGGAGTGGCTGGTGGGTTTGAACTGCCAGCTTTCTGGTTAGCAGTCTTTGGTAACATCAGCATTAGAATGAGATTCCTCTATAGGTTTATGTCCCTATCCAAAACAAAACAAAGGTGTTGTTACTCTAAAAAATATCAAGTACTTTCCATACAGAATTATTGTTATGAGCAGTGTTGGAAGTTATTTATAACTCTTGTTTGAAGATTATTTATGGTTTGTTTTTTTTTTTTTTCAGTTTCTCCATTCAAGTAAATGCATTTGTGTTCTGTCTTGTTTCTACAGTTTAAGGACAGGCATATGTATCAGTTCCAATTGGCATAGGGGCCCCAAAATTTACGAAGTTAAGACAAGGCTATCACAAATCCCCCTGCAATTGTGTGTTAAGGCGTGTGCACTGACATTTTATTTTCCCATTGGGGTTACAGTCAAGAAACTTACACTTCCAGGGATTGTTTCCCAGGCCAAATGTATTTCCTCAATTATGCAGAGTGAACCACTTGGCATTGAAGGCAGAACTGATTGGAGAATGTACAATTAAAAGCAACAGGAAAGCAAAACCAAATGACTGCTAGGTCTCAATTACCTTGAAAAGTAGGAGAAACTGTATAGCATTGTTTGCTAATGAGAAAGAGGAAGGAAGGAATTCATATGTGGTGGTTATGTTTGTGTGTCAACTTGGCTGGGCCTGGTTGAGTGGCTGGGCAGCTGGTGGTAGTTATTCCCCATGATGAGACTGGCAATCAATTCCATGATGGGATCTACCACAGCAGCTGAGTAGCTGCCTTTGGGATGTGGTCTGCTTCCTGTATATAAAGAGAAGCGTTGGGAATGGTCTCTAGCTTATGGCACCTTGAACCCTGCATGTAGCTGTGTCGTCGTTCAGCAGCCTGCCATGCTCTGCCAACTTTGGGACTTAAAATGGACTTGAATTAATGGCCTGCCATGTGATTTGGTAATTTTGGGACTGTGCCTTGGTTACTTGTCAACCTTGGGCTTGGTAGCCTCAGCAGCCAGCAGCTGTCTGAGTGAAGAAACGCCTCTAACTTCAGGGGGCCAGGAGCTGGAGGCAGAGCTTTCACCCAGCCCCTAGAGCCTGGTACTTTGAACTTGGACTTAAAGCCTCCAAACTGTACGTGAATAAACTTCTGTTTGTTGAGGCCATCCCATTTGTGGTATTTCCTGTCATAGCAGCACTAGGTAACCAGAACATCATACAAAATATATCTGTGGAGGTTCCAGGAGGCCACACTCAGATTTGCCTTATCAGTCATGAGAAATGCCGCTGTAGGCTGAAATCTCCTGAATTGAATCATTTATTTTTACTCTGTCCTTTTTAGTTTTTAAATTTTTCCTTTTAAAAGTGTATCATGCGCTATATAAGAGCTAAATAATTCAAAACAAGTAATAAGCCATGTATGCAAGGTTTAGGCTCAGATATGACAATTACAAAGTTTCCTGTATGTGTCCCTCCCACCTCTATGCTTACTGTCCTAAATGTGGTGCTTAACACTCTAATGTGTGTGTGTTCCTTAAGCTATATAAGGCATTCTTGGGTAGGTTTTTAAATCATTATATAAAAAGTACCATACTGTATACTTGATGTAACATCTTTTGTTCACTCAATAGTATTATTTGTGAGATTCAAATATTTGAAGTACTTTAGTTCTAGTTCATTCAAAATCACTGCTGTTTAGGATTTCACTGTATAAACATACCCCAATTTCATGTATCCTTCTCTTTTGATGGACATTTAGTTTGTTCAAATTTATTTCTTTGCTCTTACAAACAGTGCTGCTGTGAAGATTCTTATAATGTTCTCCTGTGTGAGGATTTGAGAAGTTACCTAGTGAGGGGAATTCCAGATTTATTGAGTAGGGGCACACTCAACTGTATTAGAGAATCCCTGATTTTTCTCTGCAGTGTTATTCTGTACTTTAGGGTATAAAAGTTGCATTGCTTTATGTTCTCGCTAACACCTGACAATGCCAAACTTTTAAATTTTGCCAGTTTTGCTGGTC